GACGTTGGGGTCATCGTATCTACCATCTACCACCCGAGTGTAGTCCTTGATTTGTCTGGCTCGCTCAGTGTATACCGGAAAAGACCTCAAACTCCCTCTATTTTCTCTTGTCTACACAAGCGCTTACACCCTGAGCACCTACAGCTTAGCCTGCCATCCGACACACCTTGCTGTAAGCCTCAGTTCCCTGAACCCACAAACCCTAAAGGCCCTAAACCCTAGAACATGATTCCCGTAATCCTGTCCACTGAATCCGCTTGCGCCCAACATCCAAAGAGGGAGCCTCAGCCCCCGCAAGCGAGAAACATCCCGAACTCTTCTCCCCCACAATCCTTATAGTCTCTAGGGTTGAAGGCCATATAATCCTAAGAGAGACAGGTTAAACCCAGAACACTGAATCCTTGATCCCCAAAGACTCCTTCTACCGCGAGCGAAGCCCCTTAAGCAAAGAAAGGTGGTGAACAAAGCCTTCACTTTTCTTCAAGACATTAGTTTTTTGAAGTTTTTTGGAACAATCACTTATCACCAGAAAACCCAAACCGTCCAAATACCAATATAGAAGCTACTTGGTAGAGATTTGGGCCCCAAAAGTATATGCTTGCTGTACCCTCAACCCTAAACCTTTGGGAAAGGAGCCGGTGGGCTTCTCGACCTTCTTCCTGCCGGCCTTCGTGTCCCACGACTGTCGGCCCAACTGCACCCTCTTGGCATGGCTTTTGGGCTGTTTTCGACTCTGGCGGGGGTTCAGGAACAAGGGGAACCCCATCAGAGTGGCAAAAGTCTGCGGTTTAGGAGGTCTTGTGGACGGCTTCGGGGTTTAGGGCGGCTGCTGCTGCTGCGGGTGCTGTTAAGCGGTGTAGGCCTGTATTTAGAGTCTAGGGTTTGACGATATTACGGTGCAGTTTACTAACTTTAACCTTGCGTCTACACATCACCAAAGAATCGGCAAGAGCTCTAGCATTCGAGCCCTTGCCCTAAGCATGTCACGCGGAGGTGTTGTCACCTCGAGCCATGACTTGTTGAACTGCCGTTCGCGTGAAAAGACATCGGATACTCTCTAATTGTCAGACTGTGCGCTTTGAGGTGGAACTCCTTGATCGGGGTTTCTGTAACCAGGATCCTGTTGATGTGGATCTCCATTCGCAGTTAAGCCAGGCAGACAGCTCAGCTCCGCACTTCAAGTAATTACGTTGCACTCATTCTTGGTATTGCTTCTGGTTTTAATGCTTTTGCGGGCAGTTTTCTTGTTCAGGAGTCTCTGCGTCTAGCCCAATAAACCCGTCGAAGGCATGTGGCACTACGAGGGCGACTCGTTCGTGATGCGCGCAAGGCAAGCAGCTCCAAAAAGGGGGACAGGGGGGTTCAGAGAATAAGGGTACCAAGCTTAGGGCACCGTCAGGGTACGTCGAGTTCACCGAGAGTGGATGAGATCCTTGTGTAGGGGTCCTTGTAGTCAGGATCCTAGAGTACTTCGGGGTTTGGGGTCCCACTTTACACCTGAAGCCCCCAACACACTGAATCCGAAAGTGGGACTATCAGATGGCAGAGGTCCGGGTGATCAGTTCAACTTTGCCCCCCGTGAAACGCCTGTGCTTGCTGATCGCAGTTGAGGGTCGAAGCTTGAGAGCCTGACCGGTAGGGATCTTGATTTGTTGCGGAGAACAGGATGTTAGGGTATACTTTAATCGGCCTAGAGGCTACGCTGGGTTGCGGCGTCTGGTAGGTGCACCAACAAGGTGCACCAAAGGTTGGGTGCGTTTGAGTCAGAAATGCTGGCAACTTGCTGTCAAAGGCCTTTGGTGTAGTTGCGCCGGGCTCTGGGAGAGCCGAACTGCTGTTACATTCGAGTTTTAGTCTTCAGTCTTGAAGGAGGCAATCACAGGTGGAACATTCTAAGTAACCTGCACTAAACCCCTATGTTAGCCTCATACAACTCTTACAGAAGCTTTCAACTCCACTTGGCACCCTCAACCTAAACGTCTCCGCGGCGGGAATCAGGAGGGACATTCCGCATGGCGAGGAGATTACAGTGTCGCCAGCTCGGTGAGTTGAACCCATTGCCCCTAATCATATTTTCCTGCAGTCCTGTATACTCACCAGAAGAAGGCTAGGATCCGACTTTCCTCGTTTTCGGATTGTTGGCTCTGGGTGCTTGCATTGAGCCGTTCTGATCTGTGAGTGCTTCCGCCTGAGCCCTAATCCACAACTCCCAGCAGTTGCGTCCAAGCTCTCTCGCACACTCAACCCGAGCCTTCATCCCCGCACAACTCCACGACACCAAGCGCTAAACACGAAACCCATCTAAACCCCAAAAGCCTTACGGCCCCAGCCTTGAACCCTCCCAAAAAGGCCAGAAAAAAGAGGTCTTACCTCGCCGAAGAGAGCCTCCTGGAATCCACGGCCAGCCGCCGAGCCCAACTCGAGGCACGACGCGGGACGCGGACGCGGACGCCTCTTCGGCAATACACACCACACCATTTCGATGGAAAAAGGGCTCCTCCGTTTTCTACAAGAGTTTTACGTGGTTTACGGATAGAGTCTATATAATCTGCCACAATACCCTACTCTAATTATCCAGGCCGCCATAGGAAGTCATCGGGACACGAACTCGAGGACTCCATAAGAGTGGGTTTAGGGCTTATAGGGTTTGGGGTTTTTGGGCCTAGTGGGACTTCTTGAGTTTGCTTTTGCAGGGACTTACCATCAGCAATGATCCAGACCCGTATTGCACAAGTCTACCGGCATGTACTCGGGTTTAGGGTTTTGAGTTTGGGGGTTGAAGGGTTACGGCTCCAGGTTTATTTTTGTTAGGAAAAATTGGTTATGCCACCATGCATGAAAACCCAGAAGCAAGAGCATATCAAGTAACGCTAGCATTATAGCAACACGTTTGGGACATGAGAAAGGGGGTCGGTATGGGAGGGCTGCGGTTTGGGGCTCACGATATGTCGCTTTGTCGGTCACCCAGACTCAAATCTGCTAGATGTTACATAACTGCTAAGGGCAACAACTAACTGGCCGGAAACCTCAGATACCTTACGGCCAAAGTCACCCAAAGCGCTGAGAGGCAACGAAGCACTTCCTCTGCAACTGCGCCACGTGCTCGCAGGCACCGCGGCCTGTCACAGCTGTTCATGGGATGCTGCGGAAGCCCCGTTCAGCTCTGTCTGAAATCGATCACAGGTATTCGTCAGTGGAGTTCCGTCCCTGTCCCAATTCGGCCTGACAACGCGCACGCGAAGTTGTTTCGGTCTATGGCTTGATTTGCTCGCATTGGCTAGCCTTTGGAGCCCCCAAGGCAAAGATGAAGCTCGAAGACAACACATGAGAGACGACCTTCACCCCAGCCTTCCCCTTCGGCCACTCGTAGCCAGAGGTGCACAGGCCTTCACAAACCCCATGAGCACCGACCCCCCACTTTTTTGGGGGTTGGTTGTTCAGCTGAGAAGGACAGCACCAGCCGTCAACCCAAGCCTGAAAAGCACTTCTTTCAAAAGTCAAGCCCTTCAATTCCGAGGTTCCTAGACTGAGTCAAACGCTCATGAACATCGAACCATCCGATGAAAGAGCCTGATTTCGCCTCCGCTCGCCTTTTCTGGAGGTCCCGCACTCGCCTACTTAACCCTATTTGAACTATATAAGCAGCACTACTCCCTGGCGCCCATATGACCCCAACAAAGAGCCGAACCCTGTGAAGCTCCAAACCCTTTCAAACAAAGCATGTAAACCGCTTAAAGCCTGGTATGTAAAGACCATCAACCCTCAACTGCCCTGCACGCCCTTCGCATCGCCAGGCCCTGGATCCCGTTCGTGGTTTCCGCTGCCCAGGCCTGGACTACGAGCTGGTTCAAGGGTTTGGGGTCTAGGGTTTAGTGTCCTCAGGCTTTGGTTTGGCTCGAGTCGAGCATCCTTTCCCCCGAAGCCAAATGCCTCAAGCCATGAATGCACTCCGACCTGGAACGTCAGGCCCCAAGCTGCGCAAACCCTGAGCTCCAAGACCCTTAGGCCTCCTTTCACCGAGCGCTGGCCTCACGACCACAGGGCAGCGTCCCCCGCCCGTCTGCCTGGTCTCCTTGCTAGAGCTGAGGAAGAAGGGTAGCCTGATTCACAAGGAGTTGCTGGGGAGAACGCCGAAAAGGCACCTAAATCCGAGCTTCACCGTCTCATACCAAACTGTCCCAAGCCATTGACCAGCAACTGCTTTGGCACTTTAGGGACCGGGGCTTGTGGGGATTTGGGATTTGCGCTTCAGAGGTGGCTCTGGGAGTTTGGAAGGAAGCAGTCAGTTTCAGAGTGCAGGCTGCGGCAAGGGTGACATATTCCTCGAGATGGTGATGGGATCCCTGCAGCCACTTGGCCTGGCATTTGTCTATAAGTTTAGACCATGCGACGCATTTCTTCGACAAAGAGATCTCATTTCAACTCTTGGCTTGGGTTCAGGGTCCTTCTCAGAAGCACTGATTTGTATCCATGCCTTCCGGTTAATTTCGAGTTCGGTCTCACATCCGTTATGGCCTGAGCATGGGAGCGTCGCTGTTGATGCTGGAGCCGTCTTGACTCATAGCCGGTCATAGCCCTCAAAGGTCAAGCGCACCAAAGGCGCCAAGCAGTTGATGGTTCTGCAAGGTCATACAAATACCGCACAGCGACCCGTTATCCGAGCCCGATAGACGCCCGATTATGCCACATTGAGTACCACGACCAGGGCGGCGACCAAGACGACCACGAGCAACGGGACCACCGCGACGAGCACCACAAAGAGTAAACGGGACCACCACGACGGCCAGGAGACCACTACAAGATCACCAGAATAGCACGGTCAACGTGCTCGTGGACTGGTGGGATTCTGAATGCTTCGCCACATACAGGCATAGCTTGCAGGAACTCCTTAAGCCCTCAACCCTAGACTCCTAGACTTTGAGCCCCTGTTTTCCAGGCCGAGTCCCCAGGGCGCTTGTGGGGTCTGCGGCTTCCTTCCAACGGAGGCGCAAGCCAAAGAGATGATCGACCAGGAGGCCCCCCAATATTGGTGGCGGGGTGTCATTTCGTTTGTGATTTCGCTTTGTTGTTCTGTTCTTTATTGTGTTTTGATAGTGTGGTTTGATCTCGGGCAACCCGCGAAAGCTTACCACAGCATGCAACCCTAAAACCCCCAGACCCAAAACCCTAAATCCTAAAGCCTGAAACGTAAACGAAAACCACCCACCCAAACCCTGACCCAAAAGCCCCTAAACAGCCGACGGCGCAGGCTCGCGTAGAAGAGCCGGGCACTCGACTTCTGAATTGAATCCTGGTAAGAACAGGGCAAAGGAGAGATAGGGACAGCGAGAGCACTGTACCTGAACCGTAGACCCTGGAAACGAGATAAATACAGCATGCCAAACCTCCCGGGCGAAGCACTGTTTGCCAAGGGTCCCCACCAAGAAAAATTAGGTGTTTGAGTGGAGAAATCCCGTCAACAAGCTCGAAGTGGAGAAGTGATTTCAAAAGCCTCCAAGGTGTGTCCAGGAGTGGGATCGCAAGGTGAATAACGCCGCGACCTACCTGCCACAGGACTCACCTGTTGAGTTCATCGGACGCTTTCTAGATAAGCTGTATGGTTGGACTGCATCGGGCTTACAGTAAGTGCCTTTGACTCCAAGCATGAGACCCATACTGCCAAGGATTCGTATTCCGCGGAAGGTCCGCTGTAGGCTATCAAAGGAAGAAAGCCAGACAGCGAGATTATCCTGCGCAGGAGGCGGGCCCCATGTAGATACCAACCCTCCAAAGGCAGTACAGCAGCCCACAAAGAAAGCAGTCGAAGACCTGTTGGTGCATCCTGACAGCACTGCACAGAGGACACAGCCCTGCGCCTTGAAAAGAACATGGCCGGGCTCTTTGCAGATGGCCACTGGCTCCGCGATCGGGTGGCAAGGCCATGCGAGTGCCTGCAGGGCAGGCTGCACTGTGGAATGCGACAGAGGGCTCATGTGGTTTCGTTTCCTTCTAAACCGGAGCTTCCAATGTCAATGTGTTAGCACATCAGTGACCACAGAAGTGCGATCTGGTTGGGCGCTGATCGAACTTCATACACCTCGCGAGCCCGTGCAATTAACGCTCTGCTTTGGTAGATTTCGATATAGATGTCATTCCACAGCGCCCCTCTTTGCAGGCACTTGGTGAGCTTCTACGAGGCTCGTGCCATGCAGAAACCACAAACCCCTTCCCGACATCCCAGGGCCTTGTAATTAAGCCCTTCGGATACAGCCTGGCAGCCTTGAGCTCGAATTCACAGCGTGGGAAGCTTCGGACCCTTTCCCCAGCTGAGTTCACGGATCCAAGCCGGATAATTCAAGAACAGCACCACGGACCATTGGACCCGATAGTGAGCGCGGCCATGGACAATGTCACAGACCCTCAGAAGCCAAAGCACCTTGAAGTGGCCATGATCATGGACAGCTTGGGCAACGAATTCGGAAAGTGCACAGAGTACTTTACGCAGAAAGAATTGCCGCAACAAAGCGTAGAGGTCTTTGAGCGGCAGCATGGCCCAGAGCACCCCCAAGTGGCCACGACACTAGGCTTCGGAAAGCTCGGGGATTACAAAGAGCAGAAGCAGGCGCTGGAGCGGTACCTGAAGGTGGAGAAGTGCCTTGGCCTGGAGCATCTCAAGCTGGCCAAGATGTTGAACAGTTTGACTGTTTGACTCATACGGAGATCTCGGACAGCATCAGAAGCAGAAAGAGCTCGCGGAGCGCAGCCTGAAGATCAAGGAGAAGCATTATGGGTCAGAGCATGTCGAAGTGGGCATCACATTGAGGTTTATGGCATCTGCATGCCTACAGCTTGGCGACGGCGCGACTGCGGCGAGTTGCCCACCGGACTGCATCTCCTGGGAAATACAAGCAGACACCAAGAGAACACCAGACAGGGAAAGGCAGGAAAGGCTGTAAGATTCGCGGACGATGCAGCCGTCGTGCCCTAAAGGCGGCATTGTTGGCGGCCAGCCTGACGATAACTCAACTGGCACTGCGGCGGTCGGACGCTATCGCACAATGTGATGAGCAGTTGCATGCGTATGCATCCCAACACAAGGAGACTCAAGCCATTCGTAGTCCTAGGAGCCTGGTAGCCAGAGACCCATGCCGAATATCAAGATAGGGGCCGCATAGTTAATCATGTGGGCGCCCATGTAAGGGCTCGCTAGCAAAACCTAAAGCCGCAAAGCCGCAACGCTAAAGCCGGCCGAAGCTAGCCAAGGGCCCTATGTACGTCTGGTACTGTAGTAATGAAGATACCCTGAGATGCTCTGCCCCAGAGCCCCAAATGGACAAATCACAGAAGCCCCAAAAGCCAAATCTCCCCAACAAAGGATTTCTTCGCAGCTGAACCTGTGCCTTGAAACTTGAAACCCTAACAGCCTTAACCCCAACAGCCCTCAAACCTAGAATCCCAAACCCCCTATTTCTTTTGGAGGCTTTGGGAGCAGCCGAGGAGGCCCTTACCTTTGCCAGGCGCTGCGTGGACTTCGCTGCCAAGGCACTTGCCGGGATCGCCCGTCACCCCTTACAGGGGTAGAGGGTTCCTTTCAAGGCTGCTATTTCTCTCCACGGTTTCGATACGGCATATTCGATTTATCGTCCATCTGATCAAGGAGCCCCAAAGAACAGAAGAAGCATTCTTCAGGCCGGATTTTCTCCGGGGTTCAAGGTTTCTTGTCCCTCGCAGCCCCGAGAGCAGGCGCGCCAGGCCCCTGGGGGTCGTATTTACCAACCAAAACCTACTGTTTTTGCTAGGTTCTTTTGTTGTACCCTAAGAAAAAAAGCACAACACAAAAGAGGGTTTTAGTAGTTCACGGTAGGGGTTTATCGTGGGTCCCGTGTCTCTGAAACTCCCATGAGGTATTGTTATGCAGGACCAAGCCACTGTGGCAGGAGGTCTTTTGGTTCGGTTCGAGAGCTATTTCCGATGGTGTAGAAGGCGTGTTTCGGTGTTGGTTCACTTGCATCGTTCTGGGGCGTTTGGTGTAGCGTTTTGTGTGCGTGAGACTGTCTCGGGTTTAGTTTGATCTGTCCGAGTTGCGGGGTGGAGGAGTGTCCGAGTTCCCGTCCTCGCTATATGAGAAGAAAACCTTTTGCAGAAACCTCGAACGTCTCTGAGGGGGCTGTTCCGGACAGATCTTCGGAAAAGGTTGTTGCTTCTTAGAGCTTCCACTGTGTCAGGTTCTTGCGGTGCGAAACTCTCAAACTCTTGTAACACCAAGAAGTTCTTGGCAACGCCCTCGATGTGATCTTGGAACTATGTCTTGCCATGGTTGCTTCTACTTTCGGGCTAGGGCTTGTATACCTGAAGATTCTTGCTACCAGACCCTGATCTCTGAGCTTCCGATCTTGCGTTGAAGGGCCACAGAGGGAGAGGCTCCCATTGAAGTATTTGCGCTCTCTTTTCCGGATCCGGAATGAAGGAGTTGCATGTCGAGGGCTAGGGTGTCGGATTCGGGGCTGTGGCAACACAAAGTCATGGGACAGGTGTATCCTGGCTTCAGCGCTCTTCACGCTTGGTCCCTTGAGACACAGGCCTGCTGTCGAATCAAGTTTGTGATACCGTCAGAGGAGAGTATACGTAGTGGTGGGCCCCAGAGATTGGGCTTGGTGCTGGTTCCTGTCCGGTGATTCCCGAAAACGGAATACTCAAAAGACTACAGCGAAGTACGGTAGAATCCCAGCAGCCTAGTATTCCGATATTCATGATGTTCAGTGTTTTTTGCTGTAACTGAGTGATGATCAATACTATTTCCGTTGCTGTTATTAAGCCCTACAGCCTGGTAGCAAAAGACTCTGAGGAGCCGTGTGTGGGTTTCGGGACATGTTTGAGACCTCCTCAGCAGCAAGATTTGAGAACTCGAAGTAGACCCTACTTTTTCTGGCTACGATTATGGTCCCAGGCCCTGAATGCCAGGATCCTTATTGTGCAGATCCTTCGGTACCCACGAGTTCAAGAAGCTCCTGTCTAGAGCAAAGTAGCAACGATAGTACCACCAACTTCGTTGTGTTTTGGATCAGCGTGATACTGACAATGTAGCTCCTAGGTTTCAACTCCATGTCGTAGACCATCGCGATTCTTGTGTCACGCCATGTTCAAGTCTTCAGGGTGCACTTGAAGGAGCAGTTGGCTTCGTATATATTTACTATATACGTCTAGAAGATGTGATAAGTTCCGCAGGTGAAGTTATGTATGTCTTGGGATCCGGAGTCCAACCATAGGGCGTTGGGACCGAAGTGATATCAACCTTGCGCCCTGTCGCGCAAACTTTGCTAGGCCCTAGTACCTCAAGACTGACCTTAAACCCAAAAAGCCCCTATAAAAACCTTAATTAAGCCCAAAACTGGCCCGAGCACCCGGAGCTCGGCGCCACCAGGGCGACCTTATTCTCCGCGTGGCCGGCTTCGGCGTTGGCCCCGATCACGTCGAAGCGCCAGGCGGGTTTGCCCGTTCAGGGTTTCGGGTGTTTTATATATTTTGGTTTGAAGTTTTGCATTTAGGGTATATTGGGTTTAGGGTTGAGGGCTTAGGGTATTTTGAGCAACTTGCCGCGCGGTCTACAGGTTCAGGGCATATGAAGGAAGTACGGATCGAGGGGGTCAGGTCGGTTTTAAAGTTTGCTTTCGCCTGCGGATGCTCGAAAGCAAGGCTAGACTGTAGAAGTCCAATCGACATAGAACGATACAGAGCAGCCCAGCGCGGCTTCCATCAAGAACTTACGGTTTTGATGGTGGAGTAGGGGGCTGACCCAGCCGCAGACAGCGTGCCTGTGCACTTCGTCTGTTGCGGGATTCGCGATAGATCCCTGCGCTCGACGAGTTTCGTTCACTGCGGCTTGTAATATTACCCTAAACGGCCCTAAACCCGATAAACCCTAAACCCTAATTGGAGGGACGTGTTTTGTGCCTGGCGCGGCTGTACCCGACTCCGGAAACCTTGAGAAGTGACTCCCCCTCTCCGTCGCTGCCAAAAACCAGACAATCATCCCAAGGCAAATATACTACACTATACCATAATGTATCACAATATACTATCCTATACCAAAAACACTATCGTATACTACAATAAGCTACATAATAGACTACAATATACCACGGTGACTCTTAGAGTCTTAGAGGACATGGCGTGAACCTTTTGTTGCCGTATAGTATACTACAGTATATTATGGTATATTGTTGCATATTACCGTATATTATCGTATAATAGACTATACTAGAGTATGTTTTGGTATATTATAGTATATTGTGGTACGTTATGGTATAGTGTAGTATAAGATAGTAGATTGCCTTGCTATTTCCAGGAGGCCAGGCCCAGTTCTCGGGATTTCCAGGGGCTCCGATGCCAGGCTCCGTGGATGCCTCTGTGTGCCGCGAGGCATGGGCTCCTAGAGGAGGGAGAGGGGCCCGGCGAGAGAGCAAAAGGGGAAGCGGAACTGAAGCGACTTGTCCAGTCGTTGTTGCAGACGGCATCTCCCTCTACACCTAGACCCTTCATTTACACCCTAGACCTTAAATACCCATTATGTCCTGGTACACATTTCCGGAAGGTGACCGGGGTCTACAGCGAGGCTGCAGAAGCCTTGCGGGCACTTTTCGGCGCCGACCACGAGTTCTATGCCGCGCCGGCCGAAAGGAAGGGCTTTAGGGCTCCAGGAAGGGCTGTCGCGTTCGGGGCTTCATGGTGACGCTGCGAAGTGAGAAACCGCTTTTTTTAAGACTGCCATGCAGGCTACCTACCGAGTGATTGTAGCCGACTTCCACACGCAGTCGCCCTGCAGCCCTAGATTCCGCAGTCGATGACGGTGATGATGCCGGTCTCTGGAATTTCAATGATTTCGTCGTGCATGGTCCCAGAAGAAGCGATGAACCTGCCAGGCCTCGAAAAGCAGAGACAAACAGCCTCCAGGACCCTCCATCTACCCTCTAAAAAAGACACCTATCATTCATATATATATATATATATATATATTTATTTATTTATTATTATTTTTTTTATTTTTATTATTACTACTATTATTATTATTTCTTTCACACATCTCTATGTATATATATATATACACACATGGATATTTCTACCTATGTTTACTTGTTTGGGACCACTTAGCCCCTGTTGGTCGGCATCGGCCGAAGCTCGAGCCCTTGCATGGAGCTTTCTTGTAAAGCACACTGTAATAGCTTAGGGTTTAGGGTTTAAAGTTTAGGGATGGCAGCCTGCAGGGGCCCATACAATGAAACCCTAGTTGAGCATTGAACTGACAACGCAGCTCACACGAACATGAAGCGTGCTAGAGCACAATAGCCCGATTGTGAACCAAGGTCGCCATCCGTGACAAGCGCGATGCCCTGCGTGAGCTCTGTACCGCCAATGGGCGGCAGAGCCCGAAAGATGCATCTCGGCATATTATGGAACTGTCAGACAATAGCAGGTGTCTTGTTAGAATTATTGGAAGTTAACAACGAACCCCTGAGACCCTCAACAGCGACCCTTTAGCCGAAGTGCGGGTTCCCTTCGGGTCTGGCGGAAGATACTTCTGCAGTTCAAGGAGCCGTGCATTTTGCCCGGGCTTCTCTATCTTTGAGAAACCCCTGGACCCGAAAGCTTCCTAAACCCCCCAGAAATCCGCCACCCCACAATCCGAATGCCAGGAAACAAATGCTCTCTGGCTGAGGTGACCAACCGTGCGAAGCCGGAAGAGACCTGGTGAATGCACGAGCTGGAAAAGAACTTTGGTGTTTAGTGGGTGCGTTTGAGGGTTCGGAGCCTTCAATGAGCCTTCTGCAAGCTAAAAGCTTTAGTACCCTTTATAGCATCCATGATTGTACTGGGTAGGACTGCGAAAAGAAAGCGTCTTGGTCTCGCGGCTTTGGGGCTAGATGGGTTCAGGGCTTGGGATTTCGGTGGGACATTTCGGAATGGCACCAGGGTTTGGAGTCGAAGCCCCATAAGTCTGAACCCGACATGCTGCGCCTTAAGCCAGACAGCTTCAGCCCGGCCTAAGCTCCTTCCATCGGTTCCATGCCACTCTGGTGGGGAACCTTTTGATTGAAAACTCCGGCGAACCCGAAGCCCTAAACCCATCTAAGCCCCAAGCGTCAAAGCCGTCAGCCCTGAGACTCAACCTTCTCAGATGCTTCCGAGAGCGAAAATTACCGCTTACAAACCCCTCAACAACCCTAGGTCCATAAACTTTCGGCAGCCACCAAGCCTTCGAAGAGGAGCGAGCAAAGAATATCTCTTGGCATGTTCGGGATAGATAAAGCGCTTGAAACATGATAGTCCTGGTGCAATTACCTAGTATGCCCCCGAACCCGGGTCAACTTGAAGAGGGCCCTATATAGTTCGAGAGTTCCAGAACACAGGGTTCCCGGACCAGGATCAATTGTTGGTTTGGGGGCATTTTTCAGCTTAGCCCTGGCCAAGACGTCAGAGTCAAACGGCAACCCTAGCACCCTTTCAGGGGAGGGTGAGGCTATGTTTGGTCTCTATTAGGCTCATTGCGGTGCCCTGCCAAGGGTCCTTGTGACAATAGTCGTGCACCCAAACATAGACTGTTGAGTTCCTGTCCTCTAAACCCCAAACCCTAAACCGCCCTTGATTCATCTTTCACAACCCTTAATTAAACTCAATTACCCCCAAACCCCGAAACACTCCTAAACCCTAAACCCTAAATGCTGAACCCTAAACTTCCTGAACTCCTGAACGGTGAAGGCTCCGAGCCCGGACCGACCGGAAACAAGAACGCACCCAAACATAAACTTTTCCGGTTCCTTTAAGGCTTCCTCTGAGGCTTACCTTAAAGGTTCCGGAGCTTTAGGTAGAGCTTAGGGTACGCATAGAGATCAGCTCGTGGCTTCCCCTGCGGTTTATGTCTGTGTGATTTTGGGCTTCCGGCGCCATACTTATGAGTATGCACCTGACGCCAGCTGAGTCTGGAGCAAGATGTGAAGCCCGAACACCCGAAATTCGCTCTCAGTAATCGGGCAGGTAACCTTTTAGCCAATTTAATGTACTACAGTCCCTACAGTACACCCAGCGTTAACCGTTAGTCTAGGGCACTTGACAAGCGGGCTCTACTCCGCAAATCGTTAAGGCCTTCAACCCAAAACCTCAACCTTTATGTTTCAATCCATCTTCGGACTTTGCATTGTCAATTTCCTGCTGCTTGGCATGTCCATACAGGTCCTCTCGTTGTCCGTTTTAGGGTTTAGGGCTTCGGTCCATGTTTTTGGGCATGGCTTAGTATGATACCAAGAAGTGGTGAGCAATGGTAGTCTGACTCGCAAGAATGCTTGCAGCGATCCTGGCTTGCCCTCCTCAACCCTAAACCTCGACTCTCGACCGTAGGCTCTTAGTGCATTCGCTGGGCTTTCCGCAGCCGCAAGGCCTTCAAACAGGGGTGGGTGTCGAAAGTTTCGGGTGATAATCTTATGAATCAGAAAGTTTCGCGCACTGGCATCTGCCCACCATGCTACTTCCAGGAGCCCTTGAGGGACTAGAGCTAGAACCCAAGACTCTAAGACCAGCTGTAAGATCCCAGAGGCCTTTCAGGAACAACAGGCACGCTCCGGTTTTGTTTATCCTTCGACACCCCAAATCAACGCTTGAAGCGGAGCCTGGTGGCCGGTGGGTCACCAACCCATGCCATGGAAGAGGACCATGAGGCCGGGACTGAAGTAAGGGTGCCTCAGGGATTGGAGTTCAGGCATTTGGGGTATATGAAGCTTTATCGGCTTCTGCTAGGGATTAGGGCTTTGTAATTAAGGGTTCTGTAGGACATGGCTTGAAAGAGGAACTTCATTGCTTTGCGGGTCCAGTCTTTCGGTCCCATAACCACCCCATGATCACCCCACTTCCGCCCCCACACACCACTTTGCCACGGAGGGCCTACACAGAGTCTAGACCCAGGGCAACTTCCCGTAGACTCTTGAGCAGTGTGATTGCCGGAGTTACACCTAAACCCTAAACCTTAAACCCTCAATTCGTGGTACCCAACCCTAAGCCTGAAGCCCAATCCGAAATTCGAGCTGAAAAACCCTAAACCGTAAAGCGCAAGCCCGTGTGCCAGTGTGCTAAAGACCCCAAAAGGTCACACCCATAGATCAACCCCTGCACAGTCACATGTTGGCAGAGGTACTTCGTTTAGAGAAAAGCGCATTCAAGCCCCTTTAAAGTTTTGCAGTAGCTGGCGGATCTTCAGTTTCTGTAAGGGTGACCTGCGCACAGCCCTACAAAACCTAAGCTGATGAAGCCACTCAGACTCTATGGATGCACAGAGCCGGAAGCTCCAAAACTCGAGCCAAGCCCAAACTTGCAGATCCTAAACAGTCCCTGCAGCCTTAATGTAGGGGCCTAAATAATTACCAATTACATTACATTTTTGGGGTGCCTTATGATAGTTATAGCAGACTAGATCCCGAAACTCTCTTCTAATCATTAATTGATGCGCATATGTTATGTCTCAGTATGCATGTACCCAGCAAATCCTTTATGAGGTCACATTGGATGGCGTCATGGAGCAGATTCGAAGCCTCGTCAACAGGATCGTGTCCCCAGTGGGCCCTTTGTAGAGGATGTGGGTTCCAGGCGGAGGAAGGCTTAGATGTGTTTAGGGTTGAGCAGGTTTCGGATTGAGGTTTCGAGGGTTTCCGGATTCAGGGTGTGTGGACTAGGTTTCTTGCTGGGTTCACCCCCAAGAATGGCTGCGGACTTGCCGCCCAAACCGGTCATCACTGTGTTTGGAGGGTTGCATGATGTTGCAACAACGCCATCGATGTATTTCCTTGCTCATATATGAATGAAGAGCAGCAGAGCTATTGCTCGCGATTAGAACCGAGAGACATGGGCTCCACCTGCCTAAACGTCTCATTCGTCTCAAATCCTCTTGCATCCTGCTAGGGTCTTTGATGAGTGTTGCAGCGCTGACCGTTTCCACAAGCCTTGCGTTGTCCTGAACTGCTGTGCTGCACCCAAAACCCTTGACACTACCTCAAACTCCCACAGCCCTAAAACCCCTGAAGGGCTGCAGCCCCAAGACCTTTAAACCTCCAAAGGAACCCCTTAAACACCGCTGTGAACACACCGTTGTCGAATGGGTCCAGGCTGCTCCTGGAGCAGGAGAGAGCGGCCCTCAAATCATTGCCTCTGGAGGACAATGCCAAACACAAAGTAATACCAATATGAATTTACTGCGACTACTGCTATTGATACTAATGATACTGATGGTAATTGTAAACGCTTCGCGTCGTCCGCCTCGGCCCGGCCGCGAAAAGAGAGGGCCGGCTGATTTGCTCAGCTGTTTCCTTAAGACGTCATTGGCGGAGCGGAGCCAAGATGAGGGGGTGGGTCATTGGGCAGGGAGTAAGAGGTAGGAAAACAGAGATTCCTGTAAGGAAACTCTGACCGCTTCGGCCGGTGATGGTATAAAAAAGCGAAGACTACCAATCTCGTAGTACTAATGGCGTTGGAAAGAATAGCATGGATAGTAGTAATGCGACTACAATCAATTAGTGATATCCAGACAATACTCGTAGCAATTCTATATTTCTCGCATTCCTAGACATGACCCCGAAACCTTAAACCCTACACCTGATGATCACATGAATCTTTAGACCGGCTCTTGGAGGTGCTCTGGGACGAACTCTCATAAGCTGTTGTACGTCACGTGTCAGAACCATCCTCAGGTACAATTTCGGGTTCCTTTAATAATACCATTATTCTTAATGTGATTGTTGCGATTACGACGTCTAGTATTAATATTCTTATTAGTGTTATTAAGAAAAACTAGTAGTGGTATTGTTATCGCTATTTTTGTTCTTATTCTTCTTACTATTACAAATTGTTCTTGGTACTGTTGTTAGCACTATAGTAAAGCCCACCCGAAAACCCCTACCCTGCTCGAACTTTTAAGGCCCCCTATAGTACAACAGCCCTTGCTGAATGCTAGGGATCCAGAGGCCGGAATGGTGGCCCAAATAATTGGAGCAGGATACTGCAATATGTCAAGAACCCTGGAGAATAACATCGGTAACTATCCTGGTTCCCATGGCTGAATGCTGCTTTGAAAGCAACACATATGAAATGTATGATGATATGTATGATGCCTCCGTACTAGTTTACATGAAAGAGTCGTATGCACCGCGTCAGATTAGTGTATCTGGTCTTCTAAGAATCTACAGTCCACGCTGAAGCAGCCGCCTCGTAACGAAGCGACATGCGGTGAGCAGAGCTGTTTGAATCGCCGCTGCTGGTTGGGTTGTTTCGAGTCAGCTGCCTAAACCGCTCGATTGTGTGTTTATAAGCCCTTGTTAGCCACACAGCATGAAGAAGTGCGCATGTGTTTAACATTCATACATATATATATATATACGATGTGTGTATGTGTGTATATATATATACATTCACCTACACGCATACATGTGTGTGTGGACAGGCGTGTTCGTCAGCTGCACGATAACACGTGTAACACGACTGAGAGTAGCTTTAAGCCAAGAGTCAGGGCACATGCATATAATATGCGCACGAATACAAATAAGTTAGGTAGACCGGCCAACAGACAGAAGGGCAGAACCAGATCTATCGCCATGCAAACTGTGTACATGCATGTAGTAGATGTACTGCCTCCTGTCCCTGAAATCCGATGTGCGAAGCCAAGACTCAGCCCTATGAGCTTTATAAACCAGAAAGCCCTAAAAGCCAAAAGCCTCA